TTTGAAAAGTGCAAAAGCAGTTACGGGAGTAAATGAATAAATTAAAAGCAAATAAATTAATAAAAGTAAATAAAAGTAAATAAAAATAATAAATAAATAGAAATAAAGTAATCAAATGATTAAATAATTAAATAAAAATTAGCCCACGCTATTTGCTGCGTCTTCTGTTCTTCTAAATTACTTATTAGTCTTCGCATTGCTCTTTCTTTTGTTTCCCGAAGCTGAAACAAACCCTAAACCCTAAACCCTAAACCCTAAACCCTAAACCCTAAACCCTAAACCCTAAACCCTAAACCCTAAACCCTAAGCCCCTTTTCAAAGGCAGCCCTTTCAGCTGCCTGTAGTTGCCATTTGGAGTTGCGCGTGTCTACTAGCTCAGGGTTTAGGGTTTAGGGTTTAGGGTTTAGGGTTTAGGGTTTAGGGTGTGGGGTTTGGGCTTTCAGGACTTGGGACTTTCAGGGTTCAGGGCTCAGCGTTCAGGGTCTAGGGTTTAGGGTTTAGGGTTTAGGGTTTAGGGTTTACTTTGTTGAGTTGGAGGTTGTGTTTGAGTAGCAAATCCGTTTCTGTTTTTTCTTTGAACTTTCGCAACTTATTTAATTCTTTGTCATGTTGCATGCGCACAGCCCCCAGCAGCAAAATGCGGTGGGCCTGGGCCTGAAATGAAATTAAAAAAAATAAAAAAAGAAATAAAAGAAATAAAAGAAATAAAAAGAAATAAAAGAAATAAAGAGAAATTAAATCCATTTTAATCCATTTTATTCTTTTTTTTGTTTTATTTTATTTATTTTGTTCAAATTCGCAAAAAATTCGAAAAAAAATCAAAAAAAAAGAAACAAAATGAGAAAATGCAATTCAATGCACAAACAGCACTTCACTTGTTCTTTTGGAATTTGCTTCCCATTTATTTATTTATTTATTTATTTATTTATTTATTTATTTATTTATTTATTTATTTATTTATTTATTTATTTATTTGTTTATTTATTTATTTATTTATTTATTTGTTATTTGACTGTTTATTTGCTTCTTGTTTCCACTTTTTGTTGGCCAGTTTGCGGTGTATGTACACCTCAAGAGCCTCTTCTCGAAAATCCGCCGTGAGAGAAGAAGCGTCTGTCATATGAAGTCTGAATAAATAAATAAATAAATAAATAAATAAATAAATAAATAAATAAATAAATAAATAAATAAATAAATAAATAAATAAATAAATAAATCTGTGCACTTGTTTTATAAATGAGTTTTTTTGAAGAAACTTTAATTGGCCAACTAATTGAATTAATTGGAGTTAAATGAAAAGTGATTTATTCATTCAAATGGACTTATTTAAAGAATTCATTCAAAAAAAAATTAATCAAATAAATAAATAAATAAAAATAAATAAAAATAAATAAATAAAAATAAATAAAAATAAATAAATAAATAAATAAATAAATAAATAAATAAATAAATAAATAAACAAGTCCCCACATGTGCTGCTCCTCCCTGAGCACAAGTGCTGCTTGGGACTGCAGCAGCGCTGCTGCTGCTGCTGCTGCTGCTGCTGCTGATTGTTTAATTAATTTCTTTTTTTCATTTCTCAGTTTTGTTGCATGCAAATGCTTTTCTTCTTTGCTGCTTTCGTCCAGAGAGACGCGCGCCTCTTCAAGGTCCTAAACAACACCAAAACCCTAAACCCTAAACCCTAAACCCTAAACCCTAAACCCTAAACCCTAAACCCTAAATCCTAGGTCCGAAACCCTAAACCCTGAGAGCTCAAGTCTTTAAGTGCCGCCCCCTAAGCCTTAAACCCTAAACCCTAAGCTCTGGGCCTCAACCGCCAAACCTTAAAATGCCGAGCTCACAACCCTAAACCCTAAACCCTAAACCCTAAACCCTAAACCCTCGGCTTACGTTGATTTGAGATCTGTCGAAAAGCCATTCTTGATGCAGCTGCTGCTGCTCTAAGATTAGTTTTTGTCTTTGTGCTTCTTCTGTTGCAATTTGTTCCCTCAGTTTGTTTGCCTGCAAATTAGGGTTTTCAAAACCCTAATTTGTGGTTTGTCAATTAAAACGAAATAATCGATTTTTTATTTTTTAAACTCAATCCATTAATCAATTCCCAACTAATAACCCAGTGGGTCCTAGCTGTAATAATTACAAATTCAAATAAACAAATAAATAAGTAAACAAACAAACATATAAACAAACAAACAAATAAATAAATAAATAAATAAATAAATAAATAAATAAATAAATAAAGAAGAAAAGACTATTTATTTAATTGAGTTAATCTCCAAATTGTACCTCTATTTCAAGTTGAGCCAGGGCTGTTTCCTCTTCTGCAATTTTTGCGTTTTTTTTCGTTTTTTTGATTTTTGTTTTTTTTTCACTTTTCGCCATTTTGACGCTTCACCAGGTGTACGTACACCCCAGCACAAGTGCACTCAATATTTCTTTTTTGAATTTCCCAAATTTATTTTCTTCGAAATTCAAAAAGAGCCAAACGGCGGCTTTTGAAAAGAAAGAAGTTTCCCAGTTACTCAATTTGGAGCCGATTAGGCTGGCGAAAAACTAGGGTTTAGGGTTTAGGGTTTGGGGTTTGGGGTTTGGGAACCTTGTGCAGAAACTCGGGGAAAGCTGAGCCAAAAGGACTAAAAATAACACACAAAGAGGCAAAGATGGCGCTTTAGAACTTCCCAAAAGAGTTTGCAAAAACTTAAAAAGTGCCGGCAGAAGAATTTGCAAAACTTGAATTCTTGAATTCAAGTTTTGTTGGGGTGTACAGACAGTTCAGCGTTGCGAAGCTGCACTGCGAAGTTCCATTTGCGTCATTTTTTTCGGTTTTTGGATTTTCGACTTTTAAAAAGTCTCTCAAACAGACTTTTCCAACTGGAACTCATAAATAATGGAATTTAAAAGTGGATTTCGCGTTTTTTCGCCAGTTTCCGGCTATCTGTCTTGCGGATCCTCGGCGCAAGACTTCGCAAGTAACTCGGGGTTTCCGGAGGCTTCTGAAACGCAGCAAATTCGAATAAGTTCGCTTTCTTCTGCCTTAGCGCTTCTGCGGAAAAAAAGATTTGAATTATTTCTTTGAATTTCGAAAAGTGGAAAATTCAACTTTTGAAACGCCAGGTGTACGTACAGCCCGCTCGCGTTTCGTTCGCGCCGCGGGGCTGCAGCCAGCCCCAGACTGCTCAGAAGAGTCTTCTAAATGAAATAAAGGAGTTTTTGAAATGAAATGGAATTAATTTTGAGTTTTTGTTGCATTTAATTCATTTTAATTTCAAAAACGCCGGCGATCCTCCCGCCGCGGAATGCTGCTGCGGCGGCTCCCGGCGCTTTCGGGAAGCCGTCGGCAGGGCGGCGACTGCATTTTGAATTTCAAGTTTTTGAATTCTTTTTCTTTTTCTTTTTTTAATTTTCCTTTTTTAATTCAACTTCCTTTTCTTTCAGTTCGAGATCTCCCGCGGCTTCCGCTGCTGCAGCAGCCCCGCAGCAGCAGCAAGCAGCAGCAGCAGCAGCAGCAGCAGCAGCAGCAGCAAAGCCAAGACCGGAGCAGCAAAATGGCTATGCGCGCCGTGCGCAACCGGCAGTCAGCAGCAGCAGCAGCAGCAGCTGTGGGGCCCTACGCGCGGCCTGCTGCAGCAGCAGCAGCAGCAGCAGCAGCAGCAGCGGGACGCTCCCTGGTCTCAAGACCCATCGCCGTGACCGCCCGCAGCAGCAGCAGCAGCAGCAGCAGCAGCAGCAGCAGCAGCAGCAGCACAGCTGGCTTCCCGCTGCAGAAGAAATATGGACAACATCTTCTCAAAAATCCGGGAGTTCTCGACAAAATAATGGCAGCAGCAAACATCAGCAGTTCTGATGTGGTTTTGGAAATTGGGCCAGGCAAGAAACTTTTCTTTTAATTAATTCAAAATAGTCTTTTTTTTAATTAAATTCATTTATAATTATCTTTTTTCTTTTTAATTAAATTCATTTATAATTATCTTTTTGAATTAAATCAAATCCATCTTTTTCTTTCAAATGCAATTCAAAAAGAATCTTTTTCTTTACTGCACGTTTTTGTACTAATTTCTTGTGGTATATTTCACTTCCCAGCTAGCTAGCTGGCTAGCTAGCTAGCTAGCTGGCTAGCTAGCTAGCTAGCTGGCTAGCTAGCCAGTTATATCGCTAGCTAGCTAGCCATATAAGTAGCTAGCTAGCCAGCTAGCTAGTCTTGTGGCTAGCTAGCTGGCTGGCCATCTCTTGGCAGATTTTCATTTACTAAACTAGCCAGCTAGCTAGCTATCTAGCTAGCTAGCTATCTAGCTAGCTAGCTAGCTAGCCAGCTAGCTAGTTAGCTAGCTAGCTAGCCAAGAACGTGTATACTTACTGCATTGGAATTGGGAATAAAATAAAAACAAAAAAAACAAACAAACAAACTGAACAAAAGAGTTAAATAAAACAAAAGAACGAAAATGACAAAAGAACAAAACAGAAAAGAAAAGAACAAAAGCGCAATTAAAAAAGAACAAAAGAACAAATAAACAGAAAACAAACCAAATAAAACTAAACAACTATATAACTAAATAAACAATAAATAAACAATAAACAATAAATATATAAATAAATAAATAAATAAATAAATAAATAAATAAATAAATAAATAAACAATAAATAAATAAATAAATAAACAAATAAAATAAATAAAAGAAACAAAAGAATGACTGCTGCGTCGCAGGCACTGGCAACCTGACGGTGCGACTTTGCGCGTCGGCAGCAGCTGTACGTACACTGGAAATCGACGGGCGGATGGCCGCTGAGGTGTACAGACGCTGCGAGGGTTTAGGGTTTAGGAATTTGAAAGTGGAAGTTGGAGATTGTTTGAAAAAGGACTTGGGGGTTTTCGATGTTTGTGCTGCAAACCTCCCTTACCAGATCTCCAGTCCTTTTCTCTTCAAACTCGCCGCCCATAAACACCCTTTCAGGCAAACCCTAAACCCTAAACCCTAAACCCTAAACCCTAAACCCTAAACCCT